ACATTGCTGGCATCCTTGTATTTCTATCATTTTAATTTACGTTGAGGACCCTCTTTTGTCACGATATCCTGAAAAGTACCCCCTTGTGTCACTTTTCTTTTATTTCTGGGGTTTGGAGTTTGGAGTGCGCTAATATCCCCGGGGTACTGAAAAGGCCAAGGGAGAAACTGTGTGTGCCCCCAGCTCGCATCCAATAGGCGCAAGGTCTTTGGGGGAAGCAGTAGGCCAATCCGTCGGTGCTGTAGTTTGTGTCCCTTCACAACCCTGAACAATCCAACTGTTGCGGCACACCACCAGCATGCAACATGCGCAAACCTCCAGCAACAAATATGCCAGGAGTCCCCCAAGGCTACCTGCGGAATTCGCGTGTTCCAAGGCTTGTAGAACAGGCAGTGCTGTGAGACACATCGGAACCAAGTGCAATCATGCAACACCGCCCCTGCGGCAGAGCCGTTTTCCCTGCCAGGCGCCCCGCAAGGCAGCACAGAACCTGCGATGATGGTGGTTGGCAGTATCCCTAAGGACTCGTTGATGGTGCTTCAGCAGCATGGCACTGATTGTTGCTGTTCAACAGCGAAGCCTTAGTATGTCGTTGCATACCACGCCGAGCCCCGATGGCTTCTGTGTTGCACCCGCGAGTCGCGTCCCATGGACATGATGTCTTCCTGGGGATGGTGGCAGCTGTGGTCCACAGCGCGAGATGGGGCTGGCATTGGTTCTGGCCTTGCGCCCAGCCAGTGTTACGTCCCTCACCGATGGCATGCGCAACATCCGTGTCTGCCAAGGTTAAATACATGGGCAGTTCGCGTGAACCCCATGTTGAATCCGTTTGAATCAGTGGTGATCTCGTCGCTGAAACGTCTGTACCAACAAGTGCCAATTGACCCGAAAAAGTTGTGTTCCGCAGCTCCTAACGCTGCGGAACCTAACAGGTACGACCTTACATGGAAAATGATACAAATTTGTGTTACACCACGTCGACCCCCAGCCTGCTTTCTTGCCCGCATTTATTGCCGTTCCACCAACCCTCCAACCAATTCAACTGAATTGTGCCGCCGCCGGCCCGCGGCGACTCCGCTGCCAGCAAGGCGGCCTCCCAGCTGTATCTCTCCCAGCTCCCGGGAAATGAAACTTATCAAACTTATCAAACGCACAGCACATCCCGTACTGTACAAATACAACCATTCCGCGGTGCTACATTTCCTATGTAAGGCCCCTTTCAACACTGAAGAACGTTTTCTTAAGTTACAAGACAACACAGGGGCAGCCGCAGCCGCTGGCGCCGCTGTCTTTGAGCACTATCATGCCTGCCGATCGTTGCCACAGCGTCGGTTTGGGCACCACAACGCCGCTTATTCTCAGCGCATTCATTTTCCTCGCAGAACGCCAGACGAGGCTCGTCTGAGCTCCCAAGTGGTCGACACTCAGGAGCCTTGGCACTGCGTGTCGATCGTCATTCTCATTGTTCCCGTCATTGTCGAAAGTCACAGTTGTTTTGGTAATAGTCGAGGTTGCAGAGGCCTAGACAAAAGCAGCACAACCAAGATCAGCCTCAACTCCAGGATCAGAAACCACCGTAGGGGCAGGGAGCTGGAAAAACAGCATGTGGACATCACAAAAAGTCGGTTCGCCTTCACAATTTGTGCATCTGTAGATGACCATTTGAGTGTACCAGAGGAAAAACAGCACAAGTTGCTGCCCCACTGTGCACAACGAAATTGATAGTTTCTTTCACAAAAGGACAACACAATGCCATCTGGTCCAACAGCAACAAGGCGCTGTCAGACTTTGGAAGCCAACAGTATTCAAAGGCTGCAATCTTCCAAAGCACTCCCAGGGGCCAACCGTGGCAACTTGACTGCCAAACAAGTGACAGTGTGCAGGAATCTCAACTGTGGGTTGTGAAGAAAGCTCACCTCATTGCAAACTGCACTCCTATTTGTTCTTAAGCTCCTCTCCACCGACCTCCCTCCTGCTTGGCCTTTAGTTTGGTTCCCTTCTTGGCCGCCTCCTGAGCTGCTTTCATTTGCTGCACAACATCGCACAGGGCAGAGCAATGTCAGCAGGCTGATAGATTTTGCAGCAAGAATGTATCCCGGGCTAACGCTAAACACTCATCGGGCACATTTTTATCACATTCAAGACCCACCAGAATGGAATTTTCTTCTCTGTACCGCTCTAGAATGGCTGCATGGTTTGCAAGTCCTTAGGTTGGGATAAACAAGTGTTGCATGCAGCAGCACTGGTAGTTGCAGGGACATTGACAGCTAAGGGAGTGTGCAAGTTTTAGCACGCACGTCACCAGTGTTCACACTACAGTGATGTGAGCTCGTGGCAAGAGAACAGGCCTTCTGTGAGGACTCAGTGATTGCTACAACACAATGCAGCAACACTCTGTGAATCTCGGAGCACAAGTGGTCCGTGGGCATGTCCATGTCAAATAATCTGCCTGTGTACCAGTGTGTTGTGAGACCAAAGTTACCACAGCTAAATCCCTGCCATATTGTGCATGCTGTCAGAATGAATACATAAACGACATTGTGCGGATCGTCCTGTTCAGGTAACTTGAGACCGATTAGCACACTTATCAACAGCAGTCACCTGCAGCTGTCGTCCAGCCCACCCACCTTCTGAAGCTTGGTCAGTCCTCCACTGAGGAGCTTTTGCTTGGGAGCCTGTCCACCCATGTTCTCATCAGCGAACGGCGACTCCAGGGACACATGTCCATATTCCCCAACACTGGACTTGGGGGAGAAAGGGTCACAGTCACTGCCAGGTCCAGCTGGCCACGACTTTTGACCTACCAGGCACACAACATAACAGTCAGATATGCGCCATGCCAGATGGGTTTTGTGCCAGACATTGCACAGAAGGCAACAGCCGTTTCTGCTGTCATTGGGGATCTGTGAGGAACATTACAAGCATGTGCCACAAGAACAGAGGCACATACATTGGGCAGCAGGACCAAAGACCACCAACAGTGACATGTTGTTTCTCCTACACTGAGCATGATGCCAACTTAATGATCGAGTGCTTCCTGATAAACAATGTGGCAAGACATGACGTCCCTGCGCCAGGACCAATTCACACCTCAACATAGGATGACAGATGTTCGATTCACCCCCCATAACCACATCAAGGACCACAGGGCAACTTCTGTTCCCAAGTTCATGGTGCTGCCAAGCAGCGAGAAACGTCCAGAGTTCCTGTTTGACCACAGTTGCACAAACATTGCCTGTCACAGCGGCACCACAGGGGGAGATGAGCTTGTGCAAGCAATATGCATTCATCTACCTTGCCTGCTTTGTCACCACAATAGCAAACAAACCCACTGTCCAAACCCAAGAAACTAGCCATGGTGCGTATTGCTTCTCTCACACAATACAATTAGCAGCCACAAGCAGACTTTCAGGACTCCTGGTGAGCCGTGGCCACACAGTGCAATGCTTCACGCCATACCTTCTCTTCTCACAGACCTCTCAGAAGGGGTCGGAGAGGAAAACCTCGAGTAAGGGTCCGAAGGCGCTGGCGACGAAATGTTGGAGCGGCAATCAGACAGAGTGGGCGAAGGCAGCCGCGAACGGCCTCCCTTTGGGGTGGGGAGGCGAGAAGACCTCGTACTACGATGGCAAACACAGGGGTGGGTCAGCGCGGGCAGACATGCACAGACGCACTCTGCAAACCGGCACCACACTCTGAGGGAGCACTTTGATCGATCTGGAAGGTTCTGGAACAAACACCAGGGGGCTAGATGGGGCAGCGTGCGCCAAACAAGGCAGCGAATATTTTGGCGATCACCGCGCGTCGGACCCGCAGGCCGCGATCTCAAGGCCGAGCCACATGCGCACATCCACATGCGAGGCGCGATCGGCACTCTGCAATCCTTAGCATTGCAGGCACCCTCAACCACGGCAGCGCCCACCTCGAGCAGGGTGAGTTGGGCGGATCGGGGGCCGGCGTAGGCGTGGCGCAGCTGCTGCTGCTGTAGCTCTGCAGCGGGTCCTTGCCCTCCAGGCTCGACCGGCTCGACCGGGTCGTGGGCGCCGGCGATGGCGTCTGCTTCCTCCGCCCGCCCGCGCACCCATAGGCCGTCGAGCCCGACTTGTCGCTGCAGCCGCCCAGGCTGGCCCGCCGCTCTAGTGAAGAGCCGCGGTCGATGGACGGCTTCCTGCGCAGGCTGGTCTCTCTCGCCGGGGCCTTGCATCCCGCCTGCTTGGCGAAGGCCTTCACAGACCCCTTCTGCCGCCTCTCCCCTTCGCTGCTGGCGCAGGAGTTCCGTCTTGCGAAGCTGTGCCAGACAGCAGCGGAATCAGGGCGGGACATATGGCCACGTGTGACTGCGCAACGGACGCGACGGAATTCAAGGCGTCAGGACTGGGACGCGCGGGGCGCTAGCGTGGACACCGCTCACCTCGCCCTTGTGGCGTCCTTTAGCTTGAGGTAGTCGTCAATGGAGTCGGCGGTGCTCACGGAGACCTGGGATGGCGACAAGACCAGCCTGCGACCACGCCACCCCGCGTCAGCCGGAGGCTGCTCCGGTACAGCCAGCCCATGGGCCCCCAACGCCGCTCAGCGCCCACGCCTCCTCTCCCTCCGACCCCACACCGACTTGCGGATCCCCCCACGGACCCCACTAGTACATGGACTTGCGGGCTCGGCTCATGCGCGCTCCCAGCACACCCACACCTCAACGCGCCACCTGGCACCCCGCTTCCCAACACCAACGACTCAACTTTTCAACTTAGTGAATCCACGACGGCATCCAACGCCTGTTTGCGGCACCGCGGCGTTCATCCCCCCCCCCGGGGGCTGCGCGGGCAGCGGCAAAATTTCAAAAAACGCCGCCCGCGCCCCACAGCATACGCCCGGAGGGCGCAGTACATGCGCGGGCCCGGTGCGTCCCGCTCACCATGCGTCCTCCTTCCCGGTGGCCCGCAGGTTCAGCTCGCTCCTGGCGTCGCTGCCCGTCCTCACGGGCGCCAGGAAGCCCCTCGACTCCTCCTTGGGGTCCACTGCCGCACACATGCTGAATCAGCAACGGATAAGGCGACACCGGGCGCGGCCGGCGCGAGGGGACAAGCTCCCGCTGCCGCCGCGATCGGAGGGCTTTAAGCGACGTCCGGGATCGGCAACAGGGCGCCGGGAACCTCTTCCTCGACTCTGCGCATCCCGCTCAGGTTGCCGCCGACATGGCCTGGATCTCCGGACACGCCATTTGCCGCGAGCCCGCGCGCAAAAAATGCACCGAGGGCGATCTTGCCGCGGGTATGGGGCGATCAAAGGGCGGGTCCGCTCGGCAGAGCTCACATCTGAGGTGGCGCACGTCGTCGTGCGTCAGGTTCTGCTTGGTCGGCGACAGGAAATCGTCCCCCTCGTCCAGGAGCATCGCCTGCGAGAACAGGTCCAGCATCTCCGCGCTGTCCACCCGCTGCAGCACGCCCGCATCGGCCATCCCCCTCCGCCCCCCGCCGCCGCCGAAAACTCCCGCTGGTTGCCGCACCCTTCCCGGCGCGACTGCAAGCGAGCAAACGCACCCAAGGCCCACCAACGGTCGTTTATTCGGTCCCGCGCGGGTCCCGTGTGGCTGCTGGGCTCACACGGGAGAATGCCCCCCGCCCGCCGCCCATCTGCGGATTAATGGCCGCGGGCGGCGCTCGACCCGCGGGTGTGAGCATCGGATGAGGTTCGCCTGGCGGGCTGGGAGGCTGAGCCAGTGGATCGCCGCTGTCACACTGCGTCAGCGCGATATCCGCTGGGGGTGCCGGCGCGCTCGCCGGACACCCCCCGGCTGGTCGCAGCGAGGGTGCGAGAGCGCCAGGTGGCGCCACAAATGGCGGCGTGGCAGTTTGAGGGGGGGGTGTGTGTGAAGTGTGGGGGAGTGGGGTGACGGCGAGCCTGCCCGGAACTTTACGGGGAACGGTTGCGAGCCGAGCGGGGTAGACGCTGGAGGATTGAGCGCGGGAGGCGCACTGAGAGGATGCGCATCTCACGGTCCGGTTGTCTGGAGGGCTAGTCGAGAAGGCGGCGCGCCGATTGGGGGAGCATGACCTGGATGGGCCCGCCGGGCAGCGCGGGGAAGGGGTGGGTGGGATCGGATCGACGTCGGGGCGGCGGCGCGGACGTCGCGGCTAACGGGCCGCGTCGCCTGGACGCGTCTGGCGGCAGCGACGGCCGTGCCACTTGCGCCGCCGCTGACGCTTGCCTGGTGGTCGCAGCGACTGTTTCGCGAAGGTGTGGGATTGGGGACGTGCTGATTGACGAGCGGTTCCGAAGGCAGGTGCTCATTCTGCCCCGGTTCACTCCGCCTGGCACGCACCGCCTGTCGCGCTGCTTGGGGCCTTCGGGCTCACATGCATTTCTTACCAGCCGAGCATAAGCACCGCATAAGTTGCGCGGATTGGCAAGGTTGCACTGATCGCCAGCACAGAATCTCCACCACAGGCGGGCCGCAAACGCAGAATTGCTGCGCGGGATCCCGTCTATTTCGTCTAGAGACGCGCTGCCACGGAGATTTTGCAAAATGAAAGCAAATTGGGGCAGGTCTGTGTTCAGCTGCTGGGGAGCTGTTGATTCCCACTGTGAAAAGCCGCACCACGTTGTTCGTTATGGGCGAGAAACAGAGATGTCTCTGCAGGCAGGACGAAGAAAGTAGTCCACGACTGGGGCCAATGCTGCCCCCGCAACATCTGCGACTGTGTTGAGACAGGGCCAGTCTCTGACTCTGGACAAACGGCGATAGTTGAATGGGCGGCACACGTCAAGTGTCTGCTGCCACGGGGGGTTTGGCAACTGCACCTGTTCCCACACAATTGAAGGCACTTCCACGGCGGGCAACGCCTCTTGTTATTGAATCCCAGCTCACCGTGTTTTCACACATTGGCAGCTCGCTGCAGTTCACCTGGTTGATGTGCTGTCCAGTTGGACCTTGACCAGCGCTGCCCCAGTTTCCCCGGCAGTTTTTCCCCGGCAGTGGCATTCACTCGTTTTCACTGTCCGCACCACTTGCTGTCATCTGGAGCTGCAGGTAATCAACAGTGTAGTGTTGCTGCTGCCATTGGAGGCTGCCTGCCTCAGATGCACTGTAGTCGAGTGATCACCAAGGTCTGCTGTGTGCTGCTGTCCCAATGTGCGATTGCATGCCGCACAGGGTTGCAGCATCGAGCTTATGCTTTGCATTGCACGCCAGTTTTTCTAGACAGCAGGGCAGGGGTGCCAATGAACATCTGCTTCTGTCACCCCTTACTTCACAGCGTCAAGGTGCTTGATCCTGTGTGAGGAACACAACTCAAAGTTGCTCTGGGAGGTCCAAGATACACAAGGATGATCAAGTGGCTTTGACCGAACTGTCTTGGTGGACTGACTGACTTGGTGCACGTCTCATGGCATCTGTGCGACCTGGTCTATATGGTTAGAAATGGTAAGAGAAGTATACACAACAATGTCAATGCGGAGAGCTGTGTAAGACTGCACTGCATGTCAGTGCATACAACACAAACGCTTGCCCGTGTCACGGTACTGCCTGGATCGACTTCACTGCCACGTGGTTTGCTAGCAAACCAGGGGCGAATCCTTCAGATCTCCTCACTCCAGAGTTGTTGCTTAGCGAGCTCAAGTAAGTTTGCAACTGCCACATAGTGTTCCTCACATCTCACGTCCAGTAATTGATTGATTCAGAGCCCAGACAGGTGTTTGGCCGATGTCCTGGGCATTGCCGTGAGTTGTGCCATGTTGTCTTCCATCGACGTCATCGCACGTGAGTATTGCACGTCCTCGATTGCACTTGTTTCCCCATGTGCTGCAGATACCCTTGTTTCCAGCAGGGTCCGTCTTCAAGACGGAGATTCAAAACATTCAGTCAATGGGAAGGGCACGAAGCTGCGCAAGTTGACAACGGGCAAAGTCGAGCTCGTTGGCGTTGTCCAGGGGAAAGTTTGCGTGGGTAGAACGCAGCCCTTGTTGTGTGCTGCGTGCGATCATGCAACTGCAGACGAGACTCGCATTGCCCGTGCTTTGGGTCTGCCAGGAGCAGCGCCACTTCATTGGCCAGCCACACATGGTGATTCGCGGCCAGCCCGTTATCTGGCAGCGTTCAGTTGCTGCGGAAGTGCAAAACCATAGCACCGCGCGTCGTTACCAACCCACTCGGCAAGCATCAACCATGGTGCAGATGACTGGGTTTTGCATCGGGAGTGGTATGCGAGGCCTGGCTGGAAAAAGCAGTCCACCGCCCAGAAGGTGTGCGTCCATCGCACCTTTCACAAGAGTGTCACTGGCATCCGGCCCCGACGATCACCTTGGAGTTCACGTAATTGTCACGTAATTGTTTGAAGCGTCTTGCTGCAGGCGCTGTGATTGAATGGACCTACTGCAACCGCAGCTTGCATGGCATGTTAGGTGTGACCCTCAGAGCTGTCGGGCTTTCGCCCCCGCCCACAACGCCATGCACGAATAATGTAATCTTTGCATAACACTTGTACACCTTCACATCGCGCTGTTGGTTGTCTCAGAGACCGTGAGCCAGGACCAGGGTATGAGGTTGAACTGAACCGATTGTAGCCGCCATTGCGATGCCAGAGCGTGCCAGTGCTGCGATGGCACTTCCGCTGGTGGGTGCAGCTTTTATGCGCATCACAAATTTTCAGCTTGCTTTCCGCTTACAGGGTGCTCAAGTCCTGTCCCCCGATCGACCAGGAATTGTGTGCTTTGTACTTCAACTCATCACGACGGCACAACAATGAAGCATGTCATGACAACATTGCAGCACTTGAAGCCATTATCTCCTTTGCCACAGCCGTGCTTAACAAGAAAAAAGGTCACGACCACCTCGCATCGAATGCTGACCATAGTTCTGTATCTCCGAAATGCCACTGTGGCAGAGCAGTCGGGCATCCATAGCCAGGCTCGGATCTTAAGTCAGTCACGAGTAAGCGAGGTGAAATTTGCTTGCGAACTACTTTTACATGAAGATGCACTCCACCGACCTTGCAGAACACTTTTCCCACGCTCAACGATTGAAACCTAGGCACGGCTCTCCCTAGAGCGCACAAAACCTGTGGCCCACGGTCCAACCCACTTGGGGACCTGTCCGCCAAGATCTACCGAATTCCACTCGCCTCGCACAAAGGCGACGGATGCCGCTCCACGGGATACCCGGCACACTGTCTAGTCAAATAGACCAAAGCTCGCCGACTGATCACCATTCCGCTGAAATGGCAGTGACATGGCATTCAGGTGCGACATCAATCTCGAGTTGCAGCCGAAAGCGATGCAAGGAGCGCCTGAATTAGAGGCACGCTATGCATGCAGGCAAGCAGCGCGCACTGGCCTTGCATCTAACAAGCGCACAATAAAGTATCCACCGCTGATGGGCACATAACCTCCACATGCATTTTCGTGGCAAACACGACCCCTGTGAATGGCTTCCACAATCTACTGTGGGCCGCGTTGCCTGTGTGTGGACATTGCTGTCCTTACTGCACTGCTGCCATACACTGCCACTCCTGGAGCTGGCACTGACCGAGTCGACAACAGTCGGAAAACGGCTTGGCGATTTCCAACAAGGACTCGTCAGGAATGTTGCCATGCACACCTATTCTTGCTTTCACCCTCGCATTATTACCATCCAGATATACTGCATCCCTACTCGCTTCGATGACTGCACAACTATTGGGGCAGCAACGCTCCATATTCCAGCAAGAGAAAGCTGTGTTCCCATAGTTCATTAGCAAAGCAATGTGCTTCCCACCCACCAGCTACCTGCTTGTTGTCATGAGCTGTATCCGCACATATACGTTTGTGTCTACACGAGCACGCAAACCCAAGGCCAGCAATAATGCGAGCTACAGAACAAAACCCAAGGACGGAGAACAAGCCAAGTTCATGTCACTTGGTGCAAGTTGCAAGAGAACGGACTTTAGAGAGGGTTGCAGGAGGTATGGAGCTGGAGCTAGCTTAACTGCCTGCATGGTATGCATAAGAGTATTACTCTGACTGCTCTCTTTGTGTCGTAGCACAAGCTCGCAAGAAGACTATGTACATAATCCACAACTAAGACCAAGACTACAAAGACTGCTATTGGCAAGTTGTTTTCAACACTCCTTCGTTTTCTTTACACTTGCCTTGCTTTCTGTTGCCTGGCGAGCGAGTGCACAGCCACATTTAGGATACAAAAGTGGGGCACACGGATCACTTCAGGAGACCAAAGACACACCAGCAGTGAGGTTCATGTGCCTCATATCCCTGGGCACACTGCCTGCATGCCATTTGCCCCCTCTGCCTCACAAGCATCAGCCTTGGCACTTTCCTCAGAGTTGTCAACTTCTTTTGCGGAGTACCACAACAAACAGTACATGCTTCATCAAGAGCTTCAGACTTCGGACCTCAGCTCCGCCATCGGGAGCACCACCACTTCTATCCTTATCTGTTGATCATCAAGAGCCTCACGCCGTGAGGCCCCTGTGCGTTCACAAGACCTGCTCAGGTTGATGTCCTTCCAGTTTATGCACTGGATGAAGATTCAAAGTTGGATGGCAGGTTGAAAACTCTTAAACTGTTCACAATGAGATCGACCTTTTACAGCCAAGCAACCCACACAAAGGCAGGCCGCCAATCAAAGCCAAGCAACCCACGCAAGGACACACCGCCCATTACTCACCCCAGCATTAGCACTGTACCCCACGCCTCTCATGTCTTTCCGTTCCCTCAAGTAATTGTGATACCATGTTTGATCCCCACATTGTTGCAGGCAGCGCCCACACCACTGCGAAGGCCACTGTCCCCAATGCTCCCTTGTGCGCCTCTGCTGCCTTTCTTTCAAGCCACCTTGACGGCAGGTATCTTCAAACCCCTGCCTTTCACAGGACCCAACAGGGCTGCCGTCCACAGCTGGCTTTCAAGCCTTTAGTCCAGTTGCCAACATCCCAAACAGGACAAGATCTGGTCGCTGTGCCACAAATAGATGGACCACCAACGATGGGAATGCTTGCTGGACAGCGCCACCTGTTTCGCGCAACCCCACATGCAGAAACGCCAGCACATTTTCTCAGTACTCTTCGTGGGATCTGTTGTTATCTCGAGACCTTGGCGGATCCGATGGCGAGCGCGATGGGGAACGGCTGTACCTCCTTGGCGACGGGCTGCGGGATGGCGCTCCCCTATCAGGAGAGCCAGGTGGCGACCTGCTCATCCTTCTCCGATCGGGGCTTGAGTCATGTGAATCCCTGCAATTGCAGTGTCCAACGCTGGGTCAATCACAAAAACTAACCACAAGGACATTTTGGAATAGAGGACAGTGCACCTCCGTACAGCATAGCTTACTGCTTAAAGATCTGTTGCAGTTGGCTGCTGAAGGTTTTGCATTGTGGAGAAAGCCGATTCCATCGATTCACCAACAGTTGATGAACAAATGCAGCTGCCCCTGCCAAGCGTTTGTTGTTTTCGTGTTCCTTCTGCATGTTGTCCATTCTACAATTCAGCAAGGTGGAATAGGTGAATAAAATTGCCCCTGACTGTCATCTTGTACTGTGGCTTGTGGTGAAATAGAGCACCTGTTGGGTAGTGACAGATCGTATGAACCACACCTCCGTATATTTCGTCTGTGCACAAAAACAAACATATACTTATGCACATTCCATGTACATACCATACATGTGCCATGCAAGCCCACACATGCCAAGTGCATACCATATGTATATAAGCCTAGTCTCCATCGTACCTCCGTGGCGGGGGCGAACGACTCCTTGTACGACTCCTGCGAGGAGGGGGAGAGTGGCTGTCATACCGCCTGCGGCCACTCGACTGATAGTACCCACGGTCCCCACGGTCATAGCCACCACCACCATAGCCACCACCGCCATAGCCGCCACCACCATAGCCACTGCCACCATAGCTGCTGCCGCCATAGCCACCACCCCCATTCCGGCGACGGGGTGGGGAGCGCGACGAGTAGTGGCGCCGTGGTGGAGGGCTTCTTGGCCTGTAGCGACTGGATCCGCGCATCCCTGCCAGTGACAAATCTAGTGAGAAGGAATCATGCAAAGCTCTCAATGCGGCGATCAATGCAGGTCTGTGTGCGTGTGTGTGCGTGTGTGTGTGTATGCGTGTGTGTGTGCTGCCCATTCCCTGGCACAGTGCCCACAGTATACAAGTGGAAGGGACGGGTCCGCAGTTGCCATACACAGTAAACGCCCTCCACAGCGAACTCCACACCCCTTGTGCCCTGCTACCTGCTGCACGTTCCACCTTCACATGTGCTGTGCATCACGTATCTTCTCTGCACTTCAAATCATCACTTCCAAGTCATGCATCTTCCCTGCACTTCAAAGGGTCAACTGCCAACTCTTCCAAGGCGTGCATGCTTTCCTCAGGCCATCCCAAGCCTTCAGCTCGTGTACCCTCAATTCCCACGTTTCCTCAGAACCAGTTCTCTACACCCTTGCGGACATCAGGATTCGGTTCAAGACGTCGCCGGCACAAACCTGCCGCCCGCTGCATCAGCTCAGGAACCACGCAACAACACCAGACCTCGGGACCCCTCCATAGGGTCGCCCAGTTCCCCAAATGCATTCAAAACTCCGACACACTGCACACCAGCAGCAGCACCCCTGACGAGTGTTCTCCAGTTTCAAGCTCTAGAGTTCAATCCAAACGCAGGAATAGTTGCTTCCCTGATCGCCAATACTGGCTGCCAAACCGCGCTGCCGGCAACTCACCTCCCCCACCCCCGCGACGGCGGTAGTCGTCCGGCCTCTTTCGGCCTTGCATCGCGAAAACAACGGAGATCTGCGCACACAGCAGGGCACAGCCGTCAGCACCAGCCCCCGCCGCCAAAACCCTCCCCGCCAAAAACACAGCGCCAAGGCGCGACAACCCTCCCGGCAGCCGACTATTCCGGCCGCTCACCTCGCGCCCAAGCAGGACCATCTTGTCCATCTGGTACTTTGCGTCCTCGGCGTCCCGCCCGTTGGTGTACTCCACGAAACCAATGCCCCTCGCGTCCCTGGGAAAGGGGCAAACCCCATCAGGCAAAGGTTCCTCCCGCATGCACCGGGAGCCACGATCCGAGCAGCACAGCAGAACGCCACGCACCCCGTGTAGTAGTCCCGGGGCAGGTAGACGTCGCGAACGGGCCCATACTTCTCCGCAAAATACCGCAAGTCGGCTTCCCTGCACAAACACCCACACGGAAACACCCTCAGTCCAGCATGCGCATCGGCCAGCCGCCAGCCAGCCACCACAGAACATGCGCGGCAGCGAAAAGCTCCTCAGCCGCCAGGGGCGAGCGCAGCTGCGCAGAGGGGATCATCCGCGCCTCACCTCGTTTCCTTGTGCAGGTTGCGGATGAGGAGGCTGCATCGGCTGGGGGGGTCGCGCCTCATGGGCGTGGAGCGGGAGCGGGAGCGAGACCGGGAGCGCGAGTAGGACCTCGCGCGGTAAGACATGGTGGCGGACGGCCAGGTGGGGTGCGCGGCAGCCCGGGGGCGGCTTGGCGGCCGCGCGTGGTGGGAAAGAGTGCTGGGTCGACCTTGCCGAAATGAAGACGCGGGTGACAATGCAACGCCAATTTATAGAGCGTGTGTGTGGGTGGGTCCAAAGGGTAGGGGGGCGAGTCTGCTTTTCCTGCAACATCTTCTCGTTGGCTCCCAAATTGTCTTTCCCTGCTGTCATTTTCTTCTCGCCTTCCCTGCAGGGTTGATTGGCTTCAATTGTAATATACTGATGCGCACTCTGGCTTGTGTTTTCCTTCAAACAGTGTTTGGAAAGGGTCCCCGAACCCGAGATCCCGAAAAACCCAAGCTGACGCACCACACGCCCCTTCTGTGGCAGCCTGCCCCAACCGGCGCGAACCCCACAATTCCTAGTCCACTTCATGCAGTCCCAAAACCGTGACATCCCCGGCTTCATCGTGAGCGAATCGCCCAGGAGCAGCGGCTGGGCTATTAGTTCCACTTACACAAGACCCGGAGGTTGAATCGGCTTTGGCACTGCACCTTGGTCTAGGTGAGAAAATAGACCAACCTACGTTGCTGCTGCATCGCAAGATGCAACGTAGCTGGCACTGAACGCCCTTGGGTGCGGCCGCAATACCCTGCACAAGTCCCTCAAGGGATTGGGCGAGAAGTGAGATCCAGAGCATTGCGCCCGGATCCAGCAACTTGAATTTCTCGGAATTGCATGAGTTATTCAAGTAATGATCCGCCCAAAAAACAGATTCGAAACTGCCCCTCTCTAACCCCCAGTACCTGCAGTGCGCCGGCGAGGACACCTTGGAGCTGCTTCCAAAACCGCACGCTGCTACCCAACACGCAGCATCCCCCTCACGCGCCAAGCGCACACCTGCCCCCAGCGGTCCCCTGCAGCCTCCAGGCGTCAGAAGAAACACACGCCCTTCCCTCCCCCCCCCCACCCCGCCTGTCTAGCCGCCAGGCCCGAGCGCCAGATGCCGCCAATCGGGCATCTGCTGGTGGCACTGCTGATCGCGGCCGCGCTGTGTGCGGGAGACTGCGCGGGTGAGCTCCTGGTGGAGGAATTCGGAGAGGGGTGGCAGGAGCGCTGGGTGCACTCCACAGACGAGAAGTACGCCGGCAGGTTCGAAGTCGCGGACATCGGCGAGGATCCCGCCCTCAAGGTGGGTCCGGAGGGCAAATGAGCTTGGACACTGGCGGACAATGGCGGGATGCTGAGCGGGGGGGGATTTTGAATGGAAGCCGGAGGTGGAATGCGCTTCTGGACGTTCCTGCGTCTTGACCGCGCGCAGCGCAGGGATTTTTGAGTGATTTTGCGTTCAGTCTGGCAGCCAAGTGGACAGGATCTGCCGCGAGGGCCCGCTCCGCCCCCCGCCCTGTTGGGCGGGGCGCGGCGCCCACCCCTGCCGTGCGCGGCCCTGATCCGCAGCGGCCTGGTCGCGCGGAGGAGCTCGATTGCGCTTCTGAACAAGTCCTTCGGCTCTGTCCGCGCGCCCCCGGAGAGATCCCGCGCGCCTCCTCGCGACATGGCGGGTGGGTTCTAGACATTTCTTCTAGCCTGCGCGGTGGGACGAACACGCACGGCATGCAGCGCCGCTCGACTTCTGCGTGGTGGGGCCGCTGATCGCGGCCCCGCCAAGGTGTTAATGGGATCTGCCAGGCTGATCTGCGAGCGGCTGAGGCGCCCTCCCCCCTTCGTGTTCTCTGTGTCCCTGTCTGCTTCGATCTTCACCTTCATGACAAACCCAAAGAGCCACGCGGCGATGGAAAACCCGGCGACGCCCCCATTGGACAAGACCGCTTCATGGGCAAAACATTCGCGAGATTCAAGCTCCTGCCATTGAAGATGCTGAAAGTGTTTCGCCGTGCGAATTCCCCGCGGGCCTCGCAGCGATTGCAGACGCTCACACCGCCATTGCCTCGATGCCGTTCCCGTGATGCCCCCCTTGCGCCACGCACAGCCGAGATTGCGTTCATGTGCCCACCAGCGGCTGGCGCCCACCGGGCACAGGGCCACTGATACACGGTTCACCTCCTGCATCCACATCCTTCTCTTCCACAATCCTGCATATCATATTCCAACGTGAAGCAAGCGGCAGCTATTTGCTGGCCCCTGTTGTGTAGCAGGTGCTGTGCTTAAAAGAGTACACTTTGCTTGCGTATGTCGTCTGCTTGTAGGCATTCATTGCATTCACACAGCACCTTGCCGCACTCCAGTGTGGAAAGGGGACTCAGAAGCGTTGAATTGGGTGCATTGTCAGCTTGAAGTTACTCGCCTACAGAAGGGCAAAGCAACTGACAGACGTCTTGGGGGTTGTGCATTGGTTTGCGTTGTCTGGTGAGGTGGCAGGGTCCGTGTGCTTTTGTTGGGTTGGGGGCAGCACCTGGACTCTCTGACCATGATGTGATAGTTGGGAATAAGAAAGGCCAATGCAAGCTTCCTTTTGCTTCGATTATGAATTGTGCACTGATATCATCTGTGGTTTTCCCACTTAGACCTACCGTGTTTGCTCTCTGCACATGTTGTATGACGCCATTCTACGAATCCATTCTTTGATGCTATTCTTTGTATGATTCTATGATTGTATTATTCTAGATACATTCTCGGAGTATAGGCAGCTGTATCAGGGCCCCCTCCTTCTGCTCGCAATTCTGTCCATTTGACAGTCATGAATACCCTGCCAAAGGTTCCTGAGAAAGCCCTGCACTATGGCATCGCCGCCAAGCTTGGAGGCCCGCTGCACCCCAAGGAGGGGCTGGTGGTCCAATACGAGGCCAAGTGGTCAGAGGGGCACACCTGCTCTGGCGGTTATCTCAAGCTGTTCACCCACTCAGCTGCTTTCAGTGCTGACGGCCTTGTGGAGAACACACCGTACACAGTGATGTTTGGACCCGACAAATGTGGCCAGACAAACAAGGTGGGATTCATTCACACTACAGGACTGGCATGATCTTGGTACTGCAAACAAATGGTGCTTGGCTCCCTGTGCCCACCATCACGTGCAGTGTGCAAGGGGTTTGTTTGCCATGTAGATTTGGACAGCTTTATTGCATCGGTTTCCATGCATATTTGTCGGTGCTTGATTAACACATGAATGTCCAAGGGCACAAGCACCTTTCACAAGTCCAAACACAGCACTGTTGCAAAGCACATTATGCCCTTTTTGCTTTGCAGATCTCTGGAGTCACCGATCGCCTTCGAATTTTCTTAATGAGAAAGTTCAGACCTTTCAATACCTGTTGACAAGAGTTCCGTGCATATTTTTTGGTGCTTGATTAACACAGAATGCCCAAGGGCACAAGCACCTTTCACAAGTCCAGACACACCTGTTGCAAAATGCGCTATGCCCTTTTTGCTTTGCTGGAGCCAACCGATTGCCTTGATTTCTTTTTAATGAGACAGTCCAGGCATTTCTGTACCTGTTGACGGGAGTGGCAGCAACAGGAAGTTGTATGCCCTTCAGGATGTCTCCAGGAACACAGCAAAGTTTGTCACTGTATGGTGCATGCGCAAATGGGAACGTAGCAGGGTGTCAATCCACTGGACCAAGCTGAACAAGAAAACACAAAAACAGCAAGCAGTGCAGCAGCACGATGATGAGCAGCGCTGCCCTGGTCAGAGATGAAACACCTCACAGCCACCAGGCATGTGCATAGGACTCCTTGTGTTACACGTTCTGTTCAGGGAGCGTTTGATGCATGGACAGGGCATTGGAATGGCTGCTTGGCAAGCAGCGCATTTTCACTGCTTGCTGCAAAGAAAACTTCAAAGCTTGTGAGGTACATAAGTTGCTGCAGCACATGCAGTGGCCTGGTGGTGACATTTTCTTTGGTTGCAATTTTGAAGGTCCATCTGATTCTGCGACACAAGAACCCGATAAATGGCACGATGGAGGAGAAGCATCTGACAAGCCCACCTAGGCTCCCTGGCGACTCCCTCACCCATGTCTATACGGCCATCTTGAAGCCTGACAACACGTGAGTTGTGAGTTTGCCATGCAGGGAATAAGCAGATTTTAGTTTTGCATTGCTGATGCTGTAACATGCTTTTGCCATAATTTATTGTATTTGCTCATGCCCATTGCTATCTGTTTTTCTTGGACAGTCAAGCAGCAGTACCAGGTTGTGTGATTCACAGCCTGTGTTGCAACCTGACTCACACACTAGGTTTGGGACAACTTGATGATTCTTGGCTCAATGGCATGGACTCCCGGGGTGTTTGCTGGGCCCTTGGCAACCTCATCATCGCCACTTGAGTGCTAGAGTGGAGCAATTGTGCCTTCTGGCAATTGAAAATGTGTATTTCTCTTCTCTTCTCCTGCCCCTTCACAGGTCGTTGCTGACATTGCTGCCTGTGGGCTACCAGGTTTTCGGTCCTCATCGATGGTGAGGAAAAGGCCTCGGGGAGCCTTTTTGACAAATTCGATCCCCCCTTCAACCCACCGAAGGAGATTGACGATCCTGAAGACAAGAAGCCAGAAGACTGGGTTAATAACCCAAAGTGAGCAATGCTGGTCTGCTCAAGTTTTAGGCATTCCTGGTGTCGCTTTCACAGCTTGCCCTGACTGTGAATGTCTACAATGCAGCTGTCATCTTGCGTGGTAAACAAGTGTTAATGGAATGTGCTTATTACATTTGAATATAGCATTCGATGTACCGGATGAATTTATGCTTTATTCATCGCCTTCGATATTGCAGGGCGCTTATTTTGCCCTGCAAAGGGACATTCAGACTTCCAAAAACTTATGCCATCAACTATTGGTTGCAGTTATTGCGGTCGCAAATCAAAATCTTTGTGGAGGAAGTGTAGATGTGTGCCGGTGGCCCACATTCCTATGATCTGTGCCATAATGGCTGCAGAGAGCAAAAGGAAATGCATCAAGTGCCCTTGCTGTGGTTGCACGAAGGCCAGCTGGCTGTGCACACATCAGGAGACATCCACAGGAGTGGCCCTTATCCCATTGCTCCATGTATTGACAATGGAAGCCTGTGAATGTCCACAGATCATGCTTCAGCCTTCAGCAGTTCAGGCCACATTATGCTTGATGGGACATCCTGTCTGCAGCACCTGGCAGCCAGGCATGCCAAGACAAATCCAAAGGAACTGCCCCACTTCCCATTGGGTCAGGCACTGCCTAAAAGAGTGTGTGCTGCAGTTCTTTAAAATTGGCCCCAACGAAGCAAGCAGTGCCCATGCGCCTTGTAGGCGATGGTGGGTATGGCTAACATCCAAGAACGTTTCTGTCTCCCACATCCGTTTTATTATACACCTGCCGCACATATGGTCAAACAATCCTACAGGTGGTCGTCCTGAAGTGTCCACATATTGTGCTTCAATCTTCCTCCTGGATAAGACCACTGCACCAGATTGTAGAACTTTAGATTCATGGCACTGCTCGTAACTGTGGCCCTAAATGCGGTATTCTCAGTTTACATTGCCATGGATGTTGACGTTTGCTGTTGCTTTGGCTTTATTCAGAGGAGTTGATAACGTCTGTGGTTTGCTGGGACAAGGAATCTAACTCTGCAGTCTGAGAATGTATTTTTTTTCGAAATTGGGTGTCAGGGTTCAGGGTGCGCTAGGTACTAAGAGGCTACAAATTCAGCAAAAGGCTACAGCACTGATTGGCTGCGATAATTGTGCTGCCATCTACTGCCTGCGTTTGTTGTCTCTCTTGCTGGGCAATCAGCTACCAGTGGATTGCATCGTTTCCTTGCACGATGAGCCTGCGCTGAATTAGATTTGGGTTCTGGTTTAAAAATTTTGACTGCTGCCCAAACTGATGCAGGGTTTGTGAGACATGTCGCATTGTCCAAATCGACATGCGAGCAGTTTCCGCTCTCAATGCACGTGACATGTGTTCATGTGTGCAAGGTGCTGGAGGGCAATTTTGTGCGGTGTGGCACACCCTCAAACACACCATTTTGAGTAGTGTGAATGACATCTCGGCAGTTAACAAGTTGAAAGAATGCACGTGGCTGCTCCAGTATGTACCCCTGTTGGATTCTTGCACGGCCATATCCACATTGAATGATGAGGTTTCAAGTGAGAACCCGCCAACCGCCGCATGGCAGCGCGGTTCTGGGGAGTAGCCCAGCAGGCAGCTGGAGGGCACCGCATGTGGGATCGGGCCGTTCCTTGAGGCCCTTGGAGTGATGCACCACCAAGATCCACATGTGCAGTGTGCAGTGTTGATGTTTCAGCAAAGATCTTCATTGTGGATTATTTCATTCCATTGCTCTGCAGGATTGACGACCCTGACGCCAAGAAACCAGACGACTGGGTTGAGGAGTCCATGATTGAGGACATGGATGCCACCAAGCCTGAGGGCTGGCTGGATGATGAGCCAGAAACGGTTGATGACCCAGGTGAGTGCTGAAGTGTCGTAACGCCACTTGTACTACCTGAAGCTCTGAGACATCAGAGCCCTCTGACTTTGCGAAAGCTTGCCGTAAAACTTGCGATTGTGCTGCAACATTTGATGAAAAGTCTTGTCTCTGCCCTCCCACCTGCAAGACGTCAGTATGCGTAAATCCAGAAGGGGAGTTGCCAAGCATGTGAACTTTGTAAACACCAGAGCCTGGCAGTGAGTTTGGGTGCCGCTGAGTTTTATTTCACACCATACTGTGGAAGTTGTGACCCTGTGCTTCCCTTCAGGTGCCCTGGGTTGTTTGCCATCTGATGATGTGTCCACTTTGTGTGCCCTTATGATGTGGGGTTTGGGGCGCTCATTTGCCAGGCTTTGCAAGCTCTTTGTAGACCACGGGAAAACGATGCTGTCTGATCTGAACTCAGTAAAGGCATGCCATGACCAATGTGTCACATCTTTGAGTTGGCGGTGTTGGATACATTCATACATTCATTCATTCATTCAACACTCATATCGAACTTTGACACCCTGTCCTTCCTTGTAGATGCCCAGCAGCCCGAGGACTGGGATACAGAGGAAGATGGCGAGTGGGAGCCCCCCAAGATCGCAAACCCTGTGTGCGAAGAAGGACCCGGGTGCGGTGAATGGAAAAGGCCAATGATAAGGAACCCTGAGTACAAGGGAAAGTGGCGTGCGCCAAAGATTGACAACCCAGACTACAAGGTGGGAAGTCAGGGATGTTGATGTCGTTCATTATAATGTGGCAGGGCATTACAACCTGCAGTTACAGTTTCGATCAAGTTCGGTCTGGCATATGAAGCACGGCAGACATTCAAGGACAAGCAGAGATGTATGAAGTCATGTGTCCAAAAGCTGATAGAGATGCCCAAAACACACTGCTTAATGAAGAAAGAGTGCAAGAGTAGCAAGTGAATGGTGCGGGGGGCATCCCAAACATATGTAATTTGTTTGAGTTTTGTATCATTCTTCCTCAGTCCAAGATTAATTGTCCTCTGTGACTTTGGGTCATTACATCTCCATCGTAGCGACATCCGTTTTCAATGAAATTTCACCCAAAGTTCTGCTTGTAAGTTTAGAGTATACTATCAAAATTTCATGTCAACCCACTGAGTAATGGAAATTTGGCTACTTTTTGGATCGAGGGTCCTTGCCCCTAGTAAACCTCGGTATTTGGGGTTAAAAATGTCCGAAATTTACCTTTTGCCTAATGCTCAAAGGGGTCATGTCTCATTGTCATCTTGAAAATTGGCAGCTAAGTGTGTTGGAACCCAATCTTTCCGATTTTGATCTTGTTTTGTAACTTTGAGGACGAATGTTTGCTTTTAAATAGAGGACAATTAATCTTGGACAGGGGAAGTATTAGTAGTAGTAGTGTATTGTGAATAAACCATTCCAAACTGGTTTTGCTTGATGAATTGAATTGATCTTGTAAATGTCCAGCAGTGGGCAGAATTTCAAACAGAGGCAGCACTGCATTGTGCTTCTGTTTTAAAGCTCTGTGCCATGCTGGTTCATCTTAGCACCCAGTGTGTTACAAGATGCAAAGGTCTGGGTTAACATTGGCACCCTCAACTGTTGGTATTTTCTCTATCACGGGCTGTTGGTGGCCTGACAAAAGGAGAGGGCGCAGACCATCATGCATATAGAAATGTACTGTTTAAGTCTCATATCCGATGCGTCACTCAAGCCTATGTTCCATGTGGGAGTGCATAGAGTATCCAAGTAACTGAGCCTTCGTGTTGTTCGATTGTCCCTTATGGGCACCTTTGACAGATGTTTATCAAAGAATGGTCAAAGAAGCACTGGATGTTGTGTGTGCGCCATAGTGTATTACTGTCTTGTAGCAGCACTTCTGGGAATATACCATGTTGTCACTGGCATACTGCATTCTGGGGACTTAGTGGGATGCCTTACTCTGGTTTTGGCTTTTGGCACAGGGCCCTTGGGAGCCACGAAAGATTCCAAACCCGAACTTTTACGAAGACAAGGAACCTCTGAAGAACGTTGGGGAGGTTGGCGCTGTCGGCGTGGAGATCTGGACCATGGACAGTGGCATTTTCTTTGACAACATCCTCATTGGGCAGGACGAAGAGCTTGCAGCGACCTACAGGGCCAAATGGGAGCAGCGACATGCAGTTGAGGTCAGCATCGGGCAGGGGTTCCCATTGACAGCCTGTTGCTTTTAGTTGCCTTGTCATCATCAGTACCACTACTCCTGTTGGGACAACATTATGTTGGGACAAATTTTTTTTGGTTGCAGTTTCCTGTTTGAGCCCCCGGGCTATGCTGCCGAGGCCTGCAACAACAGCACGTGTGGTTGATGACAACTGCATGTCCAGCATCTTATTTGCTGCGCTGTTATGGTCACAGTATCTCTGCTCTACTATATTTGCATGCAGCTTTGTTTCGATGCGGTTGTCTCTCGCTGCTGAGACAGCCTAAATGTTGACACAATGTTGACAGGAGGGTGACATGGACAAGATTTTGATCACTGGCAATGGTGAACTGGCAGTCACCAGTGCCACAATCCATGTCAGGTCGCTTCACTAAGATGGTAGCTGGCATGATCAATATGGACAGTGCCACCAATGTGGATGATATGACCCATCTCCAGAAATGCCGCCATTGATGCTGTCATTTTGTACCAATGGTTTTCACAATCAATTCATACTGCAAAGTAACAAGTGCAAAAAACATGAAACAGAGATATTCAACTGCTTCAAGGTTGAAATTATTGCCAAATAACATGAATAGCTTCAAAGAAGCATGAAGCATAAGTTAGACGACAATAATGTGCATCATGTATTTCACTGTGTTTTTCTCTCAGGAGGCGGAGCGTAAAGAGAAGGAAAAGCAGGCTGCGTCTGGAAAGGGGGGTGCTGCTGCATTCCTGCAGGACCTGGTCGACAGGCCAGAGCTTGAGGCCATCAGGCCCTACCTCATGCCGATCGTTGACATCGCCGAAAACAACGAACCATTGTTCTATGTTGCCTGCCTGGGCACTCTCTTCCTCATGCTGTTCACGATGATCACTTGCTGCAGATCCAGAAGGGTGGGTGTTGGCAACAGTGCGGCAGTGAACACAGGCACCATGAATTCCAGTGTGAACCCATTTGCCCAAAAGTGACAAGGTGCTGCCCTGCCAAGAGACATTGTAGTGACACTGTAGTCTGGTTGCCGAAACTGTAGGCTTCTTTTGGCAGTTTAAGTTTTGCTCCAGGGCACACTAACAAGCCATTATGAACACCAAGGTGTCAGCAAAAGTCCAATGCACAAAATGGATGCTCAATTGAAAGGTGGACCACATATCCACGAAGTTGCAGACACTGTCTCCACCAATCATTGCATGGAAACTGGCAGTCAAGCAAGCTATCCTGAGCTGAGAGTGCCTGAGAGTGCCTGAGAGTGCCTGAGAGTGCCTGAGAGTGCCTGAGAGTGCCTGAGAGTGCCTGAGAGTGCCTGAGAGTGCCTGAGAGTGCCTGAGAGTG